TGATGATCTCTCGAGGTCTCTTCCAGTTCTAGTGTTCTAGGATTCAATTGCTTAATAAGACCCTCTTAAACCAAGAGCTAGTGTGCGGGGGTCTGTGTGCAGTACAGAAAGCTCAGGACTACATGGGGAAGCGGTTTGTGATGTGACAGTGGAAGCCTTGGGGGAAAGGGATTACCTTGGGAAAGGATGTTGGTGGGAAAGGGTAGCCAAGGGAGAAGGGCTACTGGATCAAAAGGCAGCCTGAGGATGAAAGTCGATAAGGGGGGCAAGGGGTAGAGCCAAGGGCTGAAGTGTTGTGTCTGTCACACCTACCTCAAGCCAGATGCTGTGTTGCACCTTGTGGGATCATTCACAGCAATGCAAAGTGGGTATAAAATACTGCCATTCTGAGTCAGGTACGTTCCACACCCATTTCACTCAGGTTTAAATGACAACACACACTGCAGAGTGAAAGAAACCCCGGGCCTTTTGGACTTAGCTGACGCTAGCTCCTCTCTCCTTGTTCTCATTGTCCTTGCAGCCTGTAGAGAGGAAATAGACTCACTGTACTCTCTAATGGAACCTCTACGGTGTTTCTTTCTTTTTCTTCTTCTGCTAAATCTCCAATAGACGTTACTCAGGCTGATAGCAAGGGAGTGTGCTCTGTGAAGGCACAGCAGAGCAAAAATGGAGGGTGCAAAGGATCCCAGAAAAAAATCCCACCCAAGCTAGGAAGCACATGCACACATATGCACAGTAAAATATCCCTGGGTCACATTGCTTACATTTTATTTGGATGGAGAGAGCACAGTTCAAACCCAAGTGATTGCACATCTTAGATGCCCTGGTACTGGAGCACATTTGTGGTTGCTATTTCTACCAGTATAGATAAAACAAGAGAACACTTTTTCCACTGCAGAAGCTTTGGCAGCCTGACAAACATTCATTTACATACTTTAAGCCTCCTTCCTTGCCAAAAACGATTTCCACATTTTTCCCTTACTATGTTTAAATTGCTTTCAGTCCATGTATAATATCATACAGGACCCATCAATTCACAACTGCTGTTTAGTAAAAGGCTTCCCTAGGTCAATACTCTTTTATTTCAGGGTAGACAATCCTGAATATATTCTCTGCAGGTGGTAGGTCTGTGATCTGCAACTGAGAGCTGTTTTGTCAGGCTAATAAACTGAAAGCTGGAGTTAGATGAAATTACCTAGCAATGGAGCCCTGTGGCTTAGCCTTTTATTCTTGGTACTAGTCATGCTTTCAATAAGGACCCTTCAAAATATGAGTCAAAATATGTATTTTGTAGCATGATGCAAAGGAAATATACTGACGATTTTTGTACGTGAAAGAGAATAGTTGGAAAATAGTGAATATACAAAGAATAAGAATGATAAAGAAAATGACTTCACCCTTGAATTAAAGTAAAAGAGTTGTGTTTCGGTTTTGCTGCAATTCACATCAAAATGATCACTTGTTAAGCTTTTAAAAGAGAAAGTTGTATGTTTGTTATTTGCGTAATGCTTAGTTAATGTTAATGGTTCGCTTGAAATATAAAATTGCCCTGTAATAGAGAATGTTCCTGCAAAATATGAATTGTTATATTGATTAGTGTATAATAGAATTCCAGTTTGGGCTTGGGGGGGGGAGGGGAGCTGAAGAGGGTATTTAAAGGACCAGTCCTGACTTGATATTAATGCATAATTTTTAATTTTTTGATTGCTCTGTTATTTGAGAGGCATACATCTTTTAAGCAAGACAACATGTCCAAATGCCATCTTTCCCATTTATAAGATGCAACGGGATGCTGGTAAAGCAGTTTGTTTTTCTGTTTCCCTAAGATGCCACCAACCCAACTACCTCTGTATTCTTGTGGTGCTTGGTATTTACTCTGGTTACGCTTTCACACAGGGTAAAAAGAAAGCAACCTCAACCTTTAAATAGTCACGAATCCTCCAGGAATTGTCCTATTAATCAAAGGATCTGTTTGTCCTACTTTATTTCATTACAGTTGGTATTGCCTAATAAGAAATTTTTAGACTCAGCAAAATAAATACTCTTTGGATTATCAAGGATTCCATGTGATTCTGTTGACTGGGCCCATAGATTTGATGCAATGTAGTAGGATCCTAATGTTTTGTGGGGGTGAATAAAAGGAAGACCCCTGAATTAATCACCACATTACAAGAGGAGCTTTATGGAGGTCTGAGAATCTTTATACTTCTTGATTTTTGTGCACCTTTGGGTATGTCTACACTGCACACTATGACCAGGCTCTGATGTAAGTTTCAGTCCAAGGCCCCTATAAGTCCACACATAATTCAGTCTGACTTAGGTTAGTCAGCAAGCATTGAGGACTTTGGTCCTAGCACTCTACTAGAGGAGTGGGGTTGAACCCCAATCCTGCTGTGACTCAGGTTTGCATCAGAGAAGGTCTGTGCAATGCTGTATGGTTGCAGCTGAAAATGCAGGTTTACAAGGCAGTGTAGATGCTCATGTCCATGCTCGGGGAACACCAAGCCTACAAGCCTGGGTTCCATCGACCCAGGTTTAGTGCACAGTGTAGACATACCTGTTGAGCCACCTCCATTTTAGCACAACTCATCCTTGCTAAAGTTCAAATTCAACCCAAACCCACTTATTTGGAAAGCCCAATAGATATTGGAATCACTGTAGTTCCACTGCACATTTCAGAGACTTGATGCAGGGAAACCACGTAAGGGGGGCAGAGAATCACAGCTTTTACTTACAAGAGATGTGTGGCCAGTGGACCTGCAGCTACATCAATCCAGCAGCTAAAGCTCAGTAGAAGATGGTGCAATGACTGTATATACTGCTGTCAGCCATGGGCTGAGTTTGTAACCATAGAATAGCCCCCTGCCACTTGATGGCTTTGTTGAAAGAGACTTCCTTTCCTCCCCAGACATCCTGCAGGATCTTTCTGTTCCATGTCTATTAGTGCCTGAGCAGGATTTGGCAAGCCTGTCACTTGTCACTGGTCTTTAGCTCACTTGGTAGAACTGTTGTTTGCAAATGGTGTGACCAAATAAACCATGCATGTGGCAAGTCAGTCTGGCCAGAATAAAATGGGGATGTGAATAACTGAGAATTATCAATGTATCCGGCCATAGGTGATCTAGGTTTACGTTTTGTCAAAACTTCTGTAACAATTTTGTGGTAGTTAAAAATGTATGGCAAGCACCTTCTGAGATATGATACTTACATTATGTCAAGTGGAAGCTCTTTGTGGCAAGGGATGTTTGTTGTGTGTTTGTACAGCACCTAGCACAGTGAGAAGCGCTGATCTCTGATTGTGGCTTCAAATAATAATCATAAATATTATGAGTCTCAGGGTATGTCTAGACTACAGGCTTTTGTCGACAGAAGCTTTGTCGACAGTAATGGTTGACAAAGCTTCTGTTGACAAAGAGCGTCTAGACTACATCCTGTTCTGTTGACAAAGCAAGCAGCTTTGTTGACATGAGAGTGTAGACGCAAAGGACAGTGTAGATGCAATAACACCTTCTGTCGACCGAACTCTGTCGACAAAAGGCATTATTCTTCGTAGAATGAAGTTTACTGCTGTTGACAAAACTGCCAATTTCTGTCAACATTATGTCGACAGAACTCGGCGTTAGTGTAGATGCAGATATAGTTTTGTCGACAAAAGTCCATTTTTGTTGACAAAACCCTGTAGTTTAGACACACCTTCAGAGGGGTAGCTGTGTTAGTCTAACTAAAAAAGACGTAAAAAGCAACCATGGTTCTGTAGCGCCTTGGAGACTACACAAAATATATATAGATGGTATCATGAATTTTCATGGGTACAACCCAGTTCTTCAGATGCCAAATATGGAGGAAGAAGCACGGAGCTTCAAATAAAAATAAAGTATTATGATACAATTTTAACAGAACATGTACTACATTTACCACATACATTGTCATAAATTTCTGTTTTTTGGAAAATAAAATGAAAATGTAGATGCTTCATTTGAATTATTGCTCTGGGGTGGGGATGAGGGGTTCGGTATGCAGGCTGACTGGGGAGAGAGGACAAACCCAGCCCCGTCTCACCACAGCATGGGGCCAGATGAGAAGCACTCCTCATGGCCACTGCAGTTCCAGCGGGCACAGCCAGGGGAGGGGTGCATGTCCGCTAGCTGGGGCAGGTCCCAGTTAGTCTGGATGGGGGCCATAGAAGGACCAACTGTCCCCAGCAGCTCCGGGTTAGGTGCCATGCTTGGGCGGGAGGGGACCCACTCCCAAAGCCCCAGCACAGAGCTGCCACAGCTGTAGGGGGGAGGCACAGCTCTCTGCTGGCCCAGAATGGAGCTGCTGCAGCAGCTCTGTGGTGGAACTAATGGACAGCGATGGCACTCCACACACCAGCCCTGAGCCCCTGCCCTTCCTTGAGCCCTCTTTCAACATTCGCTTAGTTACGTCAGTTTTGAGGATTGTACTTGATTTGGTGATTATCTCTTTTCTGTTTGGTTGTATGAGAAGCAATCCCATTTCAGGCACCTCCCATTGTCCTGGCACAACCAAACCCAGACCTTGCTTTAAGTTATGATAAGAGGAAACAGTAGACCAAATTTGGTGGTCCTAGCTCTTACCGTTTAGGAGGAGTTCTTGACCAGACAGATAGACAAACTCTCTCAAATATATAGTAATTTTCTGAGGTAAGGGGCACAGGTTGAAATACATCTTTGACTACATGCATGGGTCAGGCCTGATGGCTGAATTTGCTTTCTGTCAACACTGACTTTGCCAACATCAGTTCAAGATTCTTTTGTTTCAGTGAAAAGCTAATCTGGGAAAAAGGAGGGAAGAGGAGACAAAAGGAACTGGGGTCTATTGACAGAAAAGCCATTTTAGAGAGAATGCAGACCCTGATTTCCTAGCAGTTATCGTAAGAAGAAAATAAAAGTCAATATTGAACTGTAGAAAGTCAAATGTTGCACAATCTCCAGCATATTTATCAATCAATAACAAAACCTTTCACCTGAATAGTTTACCCAATAAAGTAGCTGTTACTCCTGCAGGATGCCTTATTCTCCATTCTGTCTGGTATGAGTCACAGCTGTTTATAACATTGTAGGTGCATTCTGAAGGGGGGAGAGAAATCTATTATTCTTTCTGTTGAATAAGCTTCCTTGAATTATGACAAAAGAACAATTTAAACAATGAAATAAGGATATTATGCAGGTGAATATCTACTGAAATTAAATGAACCAAGAACGAAATAACAACCTTCCTTGCATAGATCAAGCAAACAGACGTTCAGGAATGAATTGAAGTGGTACAGTGTAGGGATGTGAAGGACTAGTCAACATACTAGTCAACTAGTCATTTCCCGCAGCCCCTCTCCCCCCGCTGCCTCTGTCAGAAAGAGACAGCAAGGGGGACGGGGAGAGGAAAGGGTACTTAAAAGCAACAGCGCTGCATGAAACATGGGGCCAGACCCTGAGCTCCATGCCATGCTGCTGCTTGAAAACACCACGTGCAGCCTGGGATCAGTTGGGGACTCCCCCGCTGACTCCGCGCTCCATGCTTTGAAACATCCAGGCAGTGCCACATGGAGCCCAGGATCAGCTGGAGTCCCCAGCAGATCCCGGGCTCCACATGAGGTCTTTGCCTAGGGCTGTTGCTACACTTCAAAGGAGGAATCACCCTATCGACTGATTGAATAGTTGATGCAAAATGCATCGACTATTCGATTAGCCAATTAGTCACGATTTAACATCCTTAGTACAGTGACAGGGAAAGTCATGGTCAAATTGTGTGAACAAAAATATTTTGTTACTTTTCACTAATTAATGACTTTGGGTTGATTTTTGCCTCAATCAAGATTCATTATCTGTTAGGAGCAAACAGTGTGATCAGTGATGAAGAGAGACAAAGTCATTCTCCCTGAGATTTTACAATTGGCCAGCCCCCTTTTCTTATCCTCTGCTTTATCTGTAGACCAGAAAGCACCAGGAAAGCAAAAGCTTACTGGCCTTATATTGATGTCCCACTCAAATCCAGGAGGCTCTACTTGTGATTAAGAATGGACTCACATGAGGAAGGTTTGTACATGACTGGGCCCTTGTTTACTCCTTTTAGGACTTTACAGACCCCTCCTTCCCCACACAGCATAAGTTTCATGCCAGTATTACTAGCTGGTTGTGCTTAGGGCTAGTCCTCACCAATTGGTGGCCCCGAGCGACTGCCCGGCTCACCCGTAGGGTTGCCAGATGGTTTAAAAAAAATACCGGACAACAATTTGTCAAGCTCTGTCAGTTGCCCCTTGAAAATGGCGGCTCCGGGTGATCGCCTAGCTTGCCCACTCCTAAGACTGGCTCTGGTTGTGCTTAGATGCTATGCTTGTGAGTGCTAAAGAGAAAACTGTGATGGAGGATGCTAGGAGAGTCTTGATGTTGTGTCATCTAACCCCTCTCAGAGCTGCACCTGGTGTGAATGATTGCTGTTAATTTCTCAAGAGTTCAGTTTCTGCTTGAAAACCAGACATACTGTACTTGCCAAGGGTCTCAGGCTGATTGGCAAAAGATGAGGAGCACTTAGGGAGGCGATGGTGAGGAAGACCGTAGCACAAAAGAAAGCAATTGGCGCTCATATTTTTACTGTGAGGCTTGTCCTATGGCTGCATATTGACTGCTTTTATTAAGCACTCCTTCAGAGGATTTCCTTGTCATACTTGCTGAGCTTGCTTGTCAAAACACAGGTGTTTTCGTTGTGCTTTTAGCACAGCAGATCAGATGAAGTATCTTGCCCAGCTTCAGGCACAATGAGCAACTTGAATACAGAGGAGCAGAAGGGGAGCAGACAAAACATTAGATACATACCCCACATATGTTGAGGTGACCTGCACATGATAAAATTGCAGAGCCATGTGATCAATATATTTATCAAGCAGCTTTGACTAGCTCATCTGCACCTGGCTCCCTCTCCCGGGATTTATTCTAACTTCAGAGAGAATCTGGCTAGCCACAGATATGCCCTGGATTTAGATGTGTGAGCTACCTCACAGTCTTGATAGAAACGGGAGCATTACACAATGAGGAAGGGGAGACCGAGCCACCGAGGAAGAAGTGTCCCCTCTTAGCTGTGTGCTTGTGCAGCCACACAGGAGAGATTTAAATGCTGCCCAGCTGATTAGCAGAGCACCCATAGTTAGGTTTGTGTTTTTCTTGATGGTGCACGTTCACACATGCATTAGGGCACATAAAAATTTGATCCACTCATGGATGGAAAAATCCACACATGGATGGAATAGGAATGTTAAATATCAGTTAATTGAATAGTCAATTAACCTCATGAATTCTTATTGGTTAGTCAGCTATTCTATAGTCCCTCAGGGTGTGGCCAGCAGCCAGTGTGCTCCAGCCCCACTCCCAAAGAGCCCCCTGCCACTCTGTGTTGCTGCCTCTGTATCAGAGGCAGCAGCATGGGATACCATTGCTGATACAGAGGCAGCAGTCCGGGGTTATAGCAGTCCCTGTCCGAGGTGGGGTCTGAGCTTCCGGATCTGGCACGAGCCGGAACTGAGCCAGGCTTCATACACTTTAAATGCAGAATCGCAGCAGGGGCAGGTCTTGGACCCGGTAAAAGCTGGGCAGCTGGTCAACCCGCTAAAAAAAATTACTGGAGGGGGGGAGAGGGAATGTGTGTAGTCTATAGCATTAACCTATAAGCCTTTGCTTATCGGTTAATCGGTTAATTGACTGTACTATTACATACCTAGGATGCAAAAGATGAGAAGGAACATTGCCCAGGACCCAGCACTAGTCTTGGAAGGCTCATGATAACCATCCTTAAAAGGACACATAGCACTGATATGGAAGGAAAGGGTAACCTGGGTCTGTTTTGGAGGTGATTTACATGTATTAATGTTAACTAGGAACGTTAGGGTTTAACTGATTAACCAGTTAACCAATAAGCTTATGGTTATCAGTTAATGTTGTTAGTTAAACTCTGCCCAGCAGCTAGCTCTGTGGGAGTGGGGCAGGGCTCTCCCTGAGAGCCAGCTGCAGACCCCACAGTGAAGCCTCCCCAGGAGTAGGGCCAGCAGTTTCTGCTGGCTCCACTCCCAGGGAGGTTTTGCTGCAGGCTCTACAATGTGAAGTTTAAATAAGCTAACTTAAGCTGTATACTGCAGAGCCCACAGTGCATGTAACTGTGTAACCACTCAGATTGTCAGCGCTTACGGTTAACTTTTTAACCGACTTTTATCTCCTTTCTCTCTCTCCCTCCCTGAACTTTGTACAGTTGGACTGATAGTAACTAAAGCATTTGATAGGGGGCTACACTCTGTTTTGCGTAGGCACATTATTCACAAATGGCAAGGTCCTACTCAGCTATGCAGATCGTCCCAAACAAGAGCTTATCAACATTTCATACAACACCATAAGTGTTACAACACCATAATATACACCACATATGACACAGAAAAACTATTTGTAGGAAAGTTTTAATTTTTTTTAAAAAACAGGACTGTTTTTTTTTAGATTGAACTGCTTGTAGAGCCAAGTTTCTTAGTTACCACAAATCCCAAATGTTCCAGGCCTTGAGGGAGCCATAAAAGGTTGCATAATCTACCTACAATAAAATGTTATACAATAAGTCTGATGAAGTAGGCCTTCCCAAGGCTAGAAGTGAGTGCTAGGTCCCACAGAGAGGCTGGGAATTCCCCCTTTCTAATGGTATAAGACCAGGGCTGGCCTGAGCTATTCGTGCACTCCAGACCATGGGAGCGCGGTGCCGCCCCTGGGAGTGCGACGCATGCGTGGCTCCGCCCCCTGACGTGCGGCACCCCCCTGTCCCCGGGTGCCTAGCGCATGCGCGGTGCCACCCCTGCCTGGCCCAGCAACCCCACGCGGCGCCCCTACAATGGGGTGCCCCAGGCAGTAGCCTGGTTGGCCCGTACCTTGGGCCGGCTCTATATAAGACAGTGTTTCTCAAAGTGCTCTGTGAAACCACTCTGAGAAACCTGCTAACGGGATGCTCTAGTGTGTTTGTTTACTGGCTCCACAGCCTTGGAGCATCACAGCTCATATTGGCTTTGGTCCATCGTTTGTAGCCAACGGGGAGCCATGGGAAGTGGCATGGGACTGGCCATTGCTTCCTGCAGCTCCCCTTGGCTGCAAATGGTGAACCAGAGCCAATGGGAACCACAAAGTCCTTGTTGGGCTTGTCCTGAAGTAAATGACTTCTGAATACTTGTCTGGCTCTGTAAACCTTTTTTTCCTCACTTCCCTAGGTGGGTGTTTAAGTTTTCAGAACTATTGATAAAGATCTTGTAGATGTTTGTCTATCTGTGGGAGTGGAGCAGATACAGTTGTATCTTATGGCTTAGCCTAAAAAATCACCTACGTCAAGGCAGGCCCAACTAGGAAAATAACAGAACACAACTGGTGATCACTTACATTTACAAATTGAACACTGTCAATTTAAACTTGAGTAAAGATCTTAACGGCACTACACAGGCAATTTTCCCTCTTTTGATATTTGCAGCTCCACATCAAATATTGTGAATGAGACACATCCATCCTGACTCAATTAGCCTCATTAACAGTGGTCCTACAATTGACAGGTAACTTCTTTTGTTGTTATATATACCCCAAATTCTATAATTTTCACTCAAACTCATCTGATGAAGTGGGTTTTTACCCACAAAAGCTCATGACCTAATAAATCTGTTAGTCTCTAAGGTGCAACAAGACTCCTCATTGCTTTTACTTACATCCTATTAGTTCTGTTGCAAAAAAGGCCAGCTAAATATTAGTTGGCCATTATTTTCAAGCTCACCTTTGCTGGGGAATGATGTGACTTGCATGTCACTAGAAATAACTATACAATACACTTTGGCTCAAGTTTCATCCTTGAGCCAGATAGAAAATGTGTCCTATCTTACAGGCCAGATGGACAGAGAGAGGGAAGCTTTCCATGGCAGGCCAGAAATGAAACAACAAAGTAGGTTTCTTAACAACCAAAATGTGCTGAAAAAACTGTTTCTTCTTCTTATTTGCCTTCAGCTGTGACTCTCTAATGCAAACTTCATTTGTAAAAAGATCATTTTGTGAGAAGGGCTAAGAA